TTGCAACCCATTTGTGCTTGTTTCAAAGACACTATTATAGTATCACCTCCAATAGCTCTTTTTGTTTTTTGGAAAAATGCAGGATTTTAATTTTTATACACTAGGATTTTTGCACCTCGATGCTGGATTTTAATACACTACGATTTTTGCAACTTGATGCTGGATTTTGAATCTTTGATACATTGTACGCTTTTGATATATTGTACGATTTTGATACATTGTACAATTTTGATACACTCTACGATTTTGATACTTTGTGCTGCTGCTTGATGCTGGAGTGCTGCATCGGAGCACTTGCACTGGAGGCGGCGTCAAAGACAGAGTCCTGGCGAGCGAGAGCGAGCGCTATTGGCCATAGCTAGAGTACTGGGAGCACTGTGCCATAGATTAGGTGTACAGAGCCAGAGCGCGGCTGAGGCAGATCAGACCTGCGTTGAGTGAGAGTGGAGAGAGGCTTACCTGACTTACCTGTGGTGCTGGTGGATGATGAAACACCGGCTTGCTTCAAGTGAACGGCAGTTCTGAGTCGATTGCCAACCTCCATAGTGCCTGTCTACTTAGCACTGGAGGTTGGGTGTGTTGCATGGGTGGGGGATTGCTCCTGGAGGGGACAACACATAGAAGGATAGGTGATGAGTGCTGAGTGGGAGAGACCTGGACGAGCCACATTATTTTAAATGTTGATTATTATTAAAACTTTTCTCGTTTTCTCCAATTCTCACTCTTTCCTCTCAGACCTGATAACCAGATCTGCCAGATAGATCCATGCCACCTAGAAAGAGCTCACCCATTGTCCGAGCTAGCCTTTGTACCCCCACTTACCCGTCCTGCCCGTGAGCAAACAATACCCTCTGTCCCACCCTTTTTTTAATTCCCTTAAAAAGCGTCACTAAAACCCTAAACCCTAAACCCTCATCCGGTAAACATTACCAACACCTTTGTGACTCTTCGAATCCCCTCCTAGGCTGGGTTGTGCGGATACATTTCTGGGCCCTTGACAGTTCCCTTTGAGTGATATGCGACCTTCTTTCCGTTGTAACCTTTCTCCAGCATATCTCTTGAATCAATTGTTTCTCCGTTGCTACGGCCGTTTGGTCCCATCCGTCCATCTTTGAAATGTCTCTCCATTGCTGCGGTCATTTGGTCTTGTCCATCCCTCGTGGAGGTCCGATCAGGAGGTGTTTTGCCCGTCCGCAGTTATCTGTTGTTGGACCTGAATGCAAAACCTAACAGTGGTGCAAACAAATTTCTGAGGCTCATACCTCCAATCAATACAAGTAGTCATAGTATGCTGACCAGGACCGGTCTTGTCCTTCGGTTCTTACCTAGTTTTCCATACTTTTCAATGAGGTCTATCTTTGACAAGACATTTACATGTGGCAGCTCAAGGTGAAGCATTGTGTTCAGAGACAGGAGCAATGCACTGAGATATTTCCCTGGGTCGCTGCAAAGATGGGCATCGACTAAATGGACAGCAGTCAGCTGCATCCAACAAACAGGCAAACAGAAATCTTAGTACAAGTCCAAACACCAGACAGCATTCGACAAGCACAAACAGGACTGTCCAACTGATGCTAAACCACAGAAAAGATAAACTGAGATTCAATGAAGCAATTCTGAAGAGAATAGCAGGAGAGAAGAAAACAGACAAAACACGATGGAAGGCGAAATACAGAAATAAAAGAGAGAAAAGCCTATACCATAGCATACATAAATGATGGCAACAAAGTGCAGACCATAATAAAAAAACGACGTCAAGCTGGTTGGTTCACGGGGACAAGAGCAAGTGGCACACAAGATCAAGTGACCACACAAGAGGATTAACATGCCTACATTTCACAATATGGGCACACGCAGAATTAACACCTGTTGAGCGCAACGAGTGACAAGAGCGGCAGGAAGAGCAGGGGAGGATGAGGAGGAGGAGAAAGGAGGGAAAAGGAGGAGGCGGAGGAGGAGAAAGGAGAAAAAAGGAGAAGGCGGAGGAGCAGAAAGGAGGGCAAATGTTGCATACTCGTGAAACATACACATGGACTGACTCAAACCTGACTCAGACTGCAACGAATCCCTCATAAACATACATCGGTGGTGTGAAAGCCCTGGCCTTGGACATGGAAGAAAAGGCCAGGGTCAACTCTCATGCACAGATGAATGGAGGGGAGGAGAGACGAAGGGAGGAGGAGAGGGAAGATGACATCAACTCAACGTTTCCAAAAATAGTATCTTGAAATGTCAGAAGTAGAGAAAATCCGAAATGTCGCGAATACAGAGTTTCACAGTGTCTCAGATATCGATATCACAATGTCAAGACATCTCCAGAGGTAGATGAAGTCAGATCCCCAAAAGTAGTCCTCAACCTGCAGTCTATCTCCAATATCCTCAGAACTCGTAACCATCCTTTGTACTCGTAGTAGTCCAGTAGGAGTAACCCAAGAGGTAGACTTAGACTTAGAGGGCAGGAGGAGAGAGAGGGAGAGAGAGAGCGGAGAAGGAGAGAAGGAAGAGGGAAGAAAGGCGGAGCGTTTCTCCCTGATACCTGAATGGCCGCGCTGCCCCTGCTGATGTCCGCTGAGGCCGAGCCTGGCGGTGCAGCTATGGCGCTGCAGTGCTGGGCGCTGGGCTGCGGGCTGTGCCAGAGGGCCGGCGCTACTCGCTGCTGCGCTAATTCTCCCTGCTGCTCCACTATGCCAACCGAAACACCGTACTAACCTGTAGACTAACCTCCCTGCTGAGGCTGGTACCCAGCTGATATAGTGTTGGTCCAGCCTCTCTGCTGCTGGTACCTTCGGTCTGAACCGTTGATCCGATACACGGTTCAGATCTCAATCTGAGATTGAAAAGTGGTGCCTAAACTGCACCGCCGCCCGGTCCTACTGATGGACCGGTACGAAACTAGCCGTTGGGTCTGGTGGGGTCTTAAACTAGGCCTACTGGACTCTAAACTGAAAAGTCGGTTCCTAGGCCTACCTGGACCTAGCTGGGACCGTCGTGACCCGGTACCTAGGCCTAACCCGTGCCTGCTACATAACCGGGCCCTAACTGGGGGCCGTGTGGTATCGGTATGCCACAGAAAAGGAGGAGGCGGAGGAGGAGAAAGGAGGGAAAAGGAGGAGGAGGAGGAAGATGGAGGAGGTGGAGAAGGAGGAGGAAGAGGAGGA